TTGGAATTATCTGGAGAAACGAGTCATTAATCACTTCTACAGGGTTCTAATAGTACCCAGGTAGCAGGTATTAATGAACTGGTTACCTACTTGTTGCCTTGACACATGTCATTTTACTCATAATTTACAAGTAAATGTTTTCAAATTTGTTCATTTTGAAGTGTAGGAATGAAAAATGAGTATAAATTAGAAGAGACCCTAAAATTCAGGAGTATACTACTGCATGAGTCTATAACTTCAGAATTTCAAAGGGTAGCGTGAACCTCCTTTTCAGCAGGAGGTCCTTGAGGCTATAAAAACTCTGACCCAGCATTCTAAATCACCCATTTGTATCATTAAACCACTTGTTCTGGGGATTAAATCGTTAATGATTAAAAATTCTTCCTTTTGCTGTAGAATCAAACCCAAGTAGCAACAGCTTTGCAAGTGTTCTACAACTTGGGCTCGTTAGCCAGCACAGTTAATGAAGTGGTGGACAAGGTGAGGGAAAACCTGACAACCAGTGTTAAAGAAGCCTTGGATCCTAACACTCTCTCACAAATTCAACCTAATGCAGGTAAAGAGAATGAAAAATTGATCCAATTTCTTTTTCCTTAGACTTGTTGTACTTGATTTCTTGTTGAGAAGGTGTCTCCTCTAAAAATAGATTACAATATGACCTCACCAGAATCAATGACTTTACTGTGGACCACTGAACCCAGAGATCATTAAGCTACCTGTTCATCCGTACCTTCCATCTTGTTCTAGGAGTTACTTCCATAAATACCAGCCAGCAGGTTGACAATTAGCTTTTATATCATATAATTTAGGTGCAGGAGGTCCTGGGCGTGCAGCCATTCCTACCCCAGGGAACACAGCAGCTTGGAGAGCAACTCTGTGGACTAGATTGGAGCAACTTATGGACTCTATCTACTCTGCATGTGGCCAGGTAGAGCTAACTTTACCTGATTAGGGATTTTATTATGGGTCCAGTCACCAAATATGATCTACTATTCTGATCTAAAGCCTTATAAGTCCTATTATTACAGTGCTAGAACATCCAGAGTAGTAATCTGAAGGTCGCAAGTTTGACTTGGAGTTCTTGTTTTTTCCAAATATACCTTTGTCATGCACTAAATAATGTAATTTTTTCACAATCTCATTTTGCTTAGTTAGTTTCCTCACAAGCTTTTGTTGATTTTGTCAGAAGTGCAATATTTAAAGTTGCTTTACTGTCATGTCCCAGGTTCATCATCTTCAAAAGGTTTTGGCAAAGAAACGAGATCCTGTAACTCATGTTTGTTTTGTGGAGGAATTGTTGAAGGTATTTCATCCAGTCTTGAAATCTGAAAATGTATAAATTTAAAGAAAACTCAACCTGACTCAACTTCACCGTCTCGTTTCCTTTCAGGATGGGAAATCTTGTATCACCTCATTCTGGAATTCAGTTACTTCAATTTTGACGGAAGAATTCGCACAGGCTGCCCAAGGTTAGTTGCTTTCTGGGGTCGTTTTACTCAAACACTGCAAGAATTTTGTGTTATTATGGCAAACAGGAAAAAAAAGCTCTTCAGTTATTGCGTAGGAAAGCGTGGTCTGTTAATACATTATGTAGGAAACTGATTGACGTGTTTAAAACAGATAATGCATTTTGTTATGTAAACTGCGATGTTTTACAAATATTTTCAGCCCTGAGGAAAGCAATAACTGAACACGTGTAAAATTGCGATTTTTTTTAAAGCGTGTTTGATATCGCCAAACAGCTGCTGATATGACATTTGCCGTCAGGTCGTTGAACGAATGGCAAAACGTTTACATTTCTCAATCCAAAGTCGTTTGTCGAATTTTCTTGTCAGCAAAGGCCTATTATGTTTTTATAATAAACAAATTAAAACACGGTAGCCAGCAGATATGGAATTTCTTGTCTCGTGATCAAGCACTATCTCACTCGTTAACCGTGCTCACTCTTGACATATCGAGTTGAACGCTCGAAGAGAAATTTTAAATCTACGTGTGCCTATGTATTATTCTCTATTTATTCAATCTTCTTTAATTATTTGTTCGATTCAGCCTCCACTTTTTTGAAGCAAGCATTTGAAGGAGAGTACCCGAAACTACTACGGCTTTACAATGATCTGTGGTCTCGGTTACAGCAATTTAGTGGTGCCTCAAGTGCTCCTACTCCTGGCATTGTTCCTCAAATTGAACCTTCCTTTAGTCTGTTTCCAAGCGCTGAGGACCAGTTTAGTTTGAGGTACGTTAAACATGCTTAATGTAATGAACAGCACTTGGGAAGCGGCTAGAGTCCCCAAGAAGTTGGGAGAAACACTCGACTACATGTACTTCTCCGGTTTCCCCCTACACTTCCTTCGTGCTCTAGCCGCTTCCAGCGTGCTTTACAACAGAACTGAGTACAAAAAGGTATTTTGGTTTTATCAACTGAGTTAAAATTGGCCACCGTGAAGAGTTTCAAAGATGACGTTTCGAGCGTTAACTCTTTGTCAAAGCAAATGTGAACAGACTAGAGCACAGTTGAGGCTTCTTTATTTGTTAAATAGTGCTATATCTTACTTTGTGTTACTTTTGTTGCCGAGATGACACTGAATAGTTAACAATTATTCCATGCACAAAGCATTTTCTAATAACTATCAAGCAACTAGGCTGAATTAAGCACCAACCAATCTATAAATTTTTTTTCGCAGTCCAGAGCAAGCCCTGAAGAACAGCCTAGCCCCCTTTGAAATTGCCTACCTGTCGAGATCTTTATCCAGATTACTGGACCCAATTAACCTGGTGTTCCCATCTGGTGCGCGGAACCCTCCTTCCAAGGAGGAGTTAGCCAGTATTGCCAAGACGATTTCAAGGTAAGAAACCATGACTCTTGTGTGGAATACGTTACGTAAGTGTCAGTCAGTGTCTGCGCATTCTTAAATGCACCTTATATTTCCTTAAAAAATACGTAGCGAAAATTGAATATTAGTCGGAAAGATTTGAAACTGGATTGATTTGTATTTTTCTTATCTCTTGATAAATTATTGTAACTCTTTGCAAAAAGGAAAAAAATACTAATTGTTTAAAATCATTGAATGCTTTTTCGTATCATTCTAGTGAGCTGAGTGTGGCCAGTGTAGATGTTGGACTCACAATAACTGTAGCCAGAAATGTCGCCAAAACAGTGCAGCTGTACACAGCAAAATGTGAAGAACTGGTGAGAGACTTGGTTTGATATCTATTTCCTTTCAATACAACCTTATATTAGCCTGTGGAGCGCTTTTCTATAGATTGTCGTAGAAAAAAACCAAAGGAGAAAGGACAACACACTGTACCTTAAAAAGAACCTTGAGTAAAAACAACTAAACTGCCTAAAGCGCGGGAAAACGCGGGCAACGAAGTCGCGACTGGTTTTAATTTTGCATCTGGTTGGTCGAGAGAGCGGTACGAGTTTTCTGGCCCAATCACAGAGCGAAGAAAAGAAAAACCAATAAAATCTCCGGTTACTTTCGACACAATTACAAATTGTTCTTATTCAGATGTATCGGTGTTTAGTCACTGATTGTTTACTGTAAAATATGAGCGCAATAACTCAGGTCACTTCTTTCTATTCAATAAATTGTGGCGAAAAAAGGGGCGACAACTGTGTAACTCTCCTTTTTGAACGTTCTAGGAGACATCGTGTAATTACTCCAGAAATTGTATAAACAAAAGATTTATAAATCAAATTTATTTACTTTCAATTAATTTAAAATATGTCTAATATTTAATTGAAGTACTCTACATCCGCCAAGGAGGTAAAGTGTTCATTATCTCATTATTTTCTCTATTTCATATTCTCACTTGTTTTTTTCCCTAACTTATCGCAATTTTCTTTGCTGGATCTATCTTCACGCGACCAAGTTTCCGTTTCGTTTCTATGTTCAACTGTATTCGGACGTTCTTTGCTGTAGTAATTATCAGGGAAATTCAGTTCTTCGATACTTGTGCTTATGGTAGAATTGCTGTAGGACTTTATAGAAGGCCTATCTCTTTCGAACTTGAAATCTCTTCCAAGGTTTGACGGTGTTTGATTTTCCACCCCTGCAGTTGAAGAATAATCCTTTGAAAATTTGAAAATCTCTCTCAGTTCTGTGTGCGACTTTGTTGTATTCAGCTGATACGTTCCTGAAGAATCAGTTAGGTTCATTAGTGGCCATGATTAGTTAAAATTTCGCTCACACCCGCTCGTAACGTTTCCTGTAAAGCATTATCCATGAATTAATTTTTCATGCCTTTCGTATGTCGGGTGCCAACGATATGCGATCTAAACTTTGGAAGTAATTTTCATAGCATTATAGTTCAGTGGCTGTAAAACTTACTCCAGAAATTTTATAACTAGATTGATCTTACCAATTCAAAACTACCTCTAAAATGCTCACAGACATACTTGCTAAGGCTTAAAGTTTAGTTCGCAACTTGCTAACTCTGAGGTTTTTCCTTCATTGAATGGGTCAAATACTACCATTCCAAACCTTTCCTAGTTTCTGTGGCGTGTAGCGACCATTCAGAATTGTTACTACAGTACTCCCGGACGGGATGCTAGTCGATCACAGACTTCCCCACCCCTGTCTCTCCTTTTTTTTTTTTTTAACTTTGGTTTATCAACCCTTACTTACCAAAATGACAACCGCTTCAACCTAATAAGAGGTGGTAAGAATAAGAATCCGCCATTTATGAAGTATTGTCAGAATCTCCGAAGTAATGTGCAAGAGATATATCAAGGTGGTTATAGAGGATTAGAAAGCCCTTCACCACTGACCTGAGATTGAGAAGGAGTGAGTCAGACTAGAGTCAGATGTAAGTTGGACGCCTACACCGCTTGTCTGAAGAAAAGAAACAGTTTAGTCGAGAAGAGTGCTCATGACGAAAATATCGAAAGGGAAGTTTCTTTATACCGTGAAGTTACGTTACATGTAACGCAAAGCTGCAGCGGGAAGAACGTAGTGCGATTTCTGCGAGAGATGACTGTGTCATTAGAGAAACAAGTATACGGCGTGACTATGAAGGGAATGATAGCTAAGAGTTTTAAGCTTGTGCAGTCCGTGTCCAGGGTCTCTTTCCTAATGAACCCTTTTCCATTTTCTCATAATCATTTAAGTGTTTTACAATCTTACGTATATTTAGTTTTAGCTGTGGTTGCTCTGTTTCTCGGTTTATGAATTTCTACAGCAAGTATTTTAAGCAGTCGACATATTTGCTTTTCTTCGTTGCCCCTGTTCGCTTTAAAACGTAGTCGGTTTGGATGTCAATGTGACTATGAAACACGGAAACACGAACAACGCACTGACACAAACCACGTTCTTCCTGTCCATTGATAAGTGTTTATATCAATGCTTTTACGTATTGCTTGATGTTTACTTACTACAAAACTCTCCCAGATTTCAGTTGGTAGCCAAAATATACATATTACCCGTGAAATCTACTTTAACCAAAAAGACGCTTATACTGTTTTACTGAGTGCGCCAAATTTCCTTACATCTTACCTCGTTTACACGGTATTACACTTTGGATTTCCTTCGCTGCGCTCAAAACGGAAGTGAAAACACTTGATAACAGCGAGAGGCCTAGGGCCAAGTACATTACACGTACTATCCACATGCCTCGTTCGTAAGGCGAGTCTGGCTCTTTACCTTCATTCGGTACCAGATCCCCGAAGCCAATCGTGCTTAGCGCGACGAAACAATAATAAACGCAGTCTAGGTAAGTCCAGCCGAATTCTCGCTCAGAGTAGTAATACATGATTCCTCCAAGTGGAATCCAGAGCGTAATGAGAAGGGTATTTATGGCAAAGCATTTAATATGCTCTTGTGTTGGTAATTCTCGCTCAAACGCAGCCTTTTCGAAGTATTTAATCAGCAGATGAATGCCATAATTGATGTGTTCACCAATGGATTGTAGGGTCAGTAGATTCAATGGAATGCCAAAGAGAGCAAAAAAGATTAGAAACAGTCGACCTTCTTGTGTTTTGGGTGCCAGGTGTCCATATCCTGGAAAAAAAAAGACAAATTGTCTTATTTCCTGATTCTGTTAAATAAAACTACAGCCTTAGAGAGTGTGGTCATTTTAATGAAGCTACTGAGCATTAGATAATGTTTGTTGTTATCCAATTGCACAAAGTAGAGTATAAACGCGCGAATAGAGTACGAATATCCTGCAATATTGTACGGTTATTTGGGAGTTGGTTCTTTTGTACTGTAAAAAAAAACCTGTTTAACCAGTCTGCTGCGCGCGTTACGTTTCTCTATCCGCTTTGCTTTTCTCTCCTTATGAGAAATGAGTAGAAAGACTTGGAAGAAAAAGAGCAGTTAGACAATAAATAACTTGTTAGACGTTTTGGTGTGTAGTGTCGCTGCGTATTTTTACTCGTTGTTTGTATTTTGACTCGTCCTACAGGCTCGTTAAAATACGGCACAACCCGTAAAAATACTCAGCGATACTACACACCAAAACGTCTAATGAGATAAATTTATGCTCTGCCAGGTGGTTTCATTATTTCAATTGTGAATGGGACCCTAGAGTGTTGCCATTCTCATAATACATGAAGCTACCAAGCTTCAAATTCGATATTATTTATCATATGTGGTTCTAACTTTTGAGTTCGTGAATGAAACTTTTGACTGAGACCATTCAAATGAAAATTACTGAATAGAACTTGCATGTGATCTTGTTTTTATTGGTTTGACCTTAAGTTATCAGTCCATTTATTACAACCTACTTTTTGGCCTATTCTTATAAAAGCTGCCGTATGGCTCTTCCATATGGTACTGTTTGATATATTTACATGTCAATGTTTTTGTTCTTACGATTTTTCACCCTTTTCACTGTAACATTAATAATCACATTCCCCACACTTTTCTCTTTACAAAAACTATGGCACTGACAAGAAGTTCTTTTGACTTTTAGGGTTTCTTAAATTGGTGATCATTTCCTATAATCTCATGACCGTTACATTTAATTCAAGAGCGATATTGTAAGGAGAAATTAGAAGCCAGTCATCCTCTTGTAAGAGGCGCGGTGGCCTCATGGTTAGTGCGCTCGACTCCGGATCGAATGGTCCGGGTTCAAGCCCTGGCCGGGGTCATTGTGTTGTGTTCTTAGGCAAGACACTTTACTTTCACAGTGCTTCTTTTCACCCGGGTGTACAAATGGGTAGCCGCTTCATGCTAAAGGAAACCGGAGTTAAGCGCCGGCCCCACGGGCCACTTGGGCCGGTATAAAGGCTTTACTTTTTTTTTACATCCTCAGGGGTTAAGGAAGTTTTTGTGAATGTTAAATTTACAAAGCTCACTTCTTACCAATTGTAGTTGTTACACTTCCAACAAAGTACAATGACTGATAATAACTCCAGTCGTTGTGACTGTACTTGCATCTGTGCGCCTTTTCAAACAGAAAACGAAGCTCCGCAATATATAGGTCTATGACATCCATGGTTTCGTTAAATCTTTGCGTCATATTCTCCTTTAACTGATCGATTTTCTTTGCAAAGTGGGAACCAGTTGATTGCCCATCGTGCTCTAGTGCCGAAAATATCGCCGCACCCGATGTGAGGTACACTATTAACATGGCAACTCGCAGAAAAAGTGTTCTTGTCTTCCTTTTCATTTCCATGTCTGTTCACTTGTTTGGATGAAAGTTGAAGTTTTTGTTAGCGGAAGGTCTCCAGACTGCAGTTTTTCTGCGAAAACATCAAATTGTGGAGAGGGGTTAGATCGCGTCATTATGCAAAAGTCGGGCAAAATTTGGGAATATTTTCGCTAGTGAATGGCTGGTAATCTCTAGCTGAAGGATTTTGCATCTGAATAGAAATAGTAATTTTGTTCAAATATTCTTTTGAGCGACGATCGAGGTTACCTTTTTAACCCAATATGGAACCTTTTGGGCGTCGTGGTGTCTGAAATCCCTGGGCAAAGGGCGAATTCAGACAACTCTCCCTCTCTACTAGCTTTCCTTATGGTAGCTCGACGAGTGTTTTTTGAAAATATGTCGCAACTATTTGAAAAAAACTGCAGCAACACTTAAGCCTGCTGACAACTTAAACTTGGGTAACAATGTCACCGATACGAAGACAATGCTGATGGATTAAGAGAGGGACATTGCAAACCCCAAACCACAAAATTCTGAGCCTTTTTAATGCCATTTGTTTGTGATAATCCTCTATAACGTCGATTTTGTTGCTTTTGTTTTGCATTTTTTTATCTTCATGTGAATTTGGTTCTGGCCTTATAAAATTCGATTGCAAGTTGCACATTTCAGGCACGCGTTTGAACTTTTGATGTTGTTTTTTAACTCTTCAACTTTTTCAAGCTTTTCACTCTTCGTTGGCTATCACAAACTTCTCAAAGGAAAATTTGAAGTCCGTTTTTTAATTAAAAAAATTTAAAAGATTTAGAAAAGAAAATAATTCCATTTTGAAACCATAACGAGTCTTACTAAAATTTATTTATTATGATAATGGCAACTAAACCAGCTGCGTTGTAACCGCAGTGGTGGAAAGTGAAACGTTGCACGAATGTCTAAAAATTCCTTTACGTCTAAAATCACCGAAATGCGCGCAATTTTCGATGTGGAACGTTTGTTTGTTTGGAGATTTACAAGAGTTATTTTTTTTTGTATAACATTGTCTTTCAATTTGCGTTATGTAAATCTTTCTTGATTGTTCAGTTTAATAATTTATATTGGTTACATTTTTTTAACGAAGCGAACTGTTATTTGTTGCAAAATCTCTCTTGTAACTTGACTGGTTCTTCATGACACGAATGGAGACCTGTGTCGTGCTACGAAAGTATCGTTTCTTGCAATGAAACCCCACTATAGAGTGGTAAATTTTAAACTGAAATATTAATTTAAAAGAACCGATGCTTGTAGATGTCGTTAGTTAAAATCCGATTCCGTTCCTATTTCTGACTTACGAGTCTAGTCAATTAAAATTATTTAGTAGTTTTTCATCTGGTGTTGTTTCCTTACATCATTTTATCAAGTATAAGTGATTTGTTTTTCCTTCATCATCAAATTTTCATCCATGATGAGATTCAAATAATTTTACACTTGTTTTGTAAGTGGTGTTTGTTTTGCTTTTCAATTTATCCCTAACTAACATGTTTTCGTCGACAAAGTTGGCAAATGTCGCCTTTGAAATGAGAATGTAAGTTTTGTAACCCATTTCAGGTCTTAAGGGAATTCTTAGCTCTATCTTTGTAAGTTATACGTACACATGCATATGATTAAGTGGAAATAAAAAAAAGAAGCCTTTTTCTTGAGTATTATCACTTGTACTGAAATAAGTTAATAAAACATACACGCTCAAGAGATCTATTCTTACAGACAGCTGGGTTAAAAGAGAAACCTCTTGCGAATGTTTTCCTTGTTTATCATCGTGGCCTAAATATATACAACATGTAAGGTTTCCGTGAGACAGAACGCGTCAACTTTGCAAAAGAAGCACATTGAAACAAACCTTTCAAAGCCTTTCTTTGGGAAAATGACTCGTTTTGATTTTTACGTTTCCCATTTTGTCTTCGTTGGTAGGGTTTTGCTTTGTACTTCGTTCGTTGCCTAAAATCCTCTGTTTTACGTATTTCTTCCTGAGTTGCACCGGTTTTATTTTACACCATTTTTGAGGGTATTGTTTGTCAGCGGCGATGATTTCTACTTGCGGTTCTTTTATGCTGTTAAGGGTTTTGAAACTCTTTGTCTCATTACAACCGATACTTAATCCGTGCCGTTAATTAAGAGCAAATTTCCCCAAAAGTACGCGTGAAAACAAAAGAAAACATGCTTTAATTAGCAGGTTTTCTAAACGTGTACAAACAAGCTTGAAGTTTCTCAGCCTGCATCACAGCTGATTTCGACGTCATCCATTACTTTGAATTGAAAGATTTGGCGTTAACTTAGGTTTCTCATGACAATCTTAAGGGTCGGAAATATTTTCAAAGGTAGTCTTTCTTAAAACTGAGTTGTATAGGGCTGCAAGGGGTTTCCGTCTTTCCAAGTTAAGCAGGAAATATGAACCTCTTTTAATCTCTGTTTACAGTTTTTTAAACTCTTGTTTACATGCTTAGGTTTTCCCTACCTAATCACTAGCCACACATTTCCCCTCCTCCCCCCCACTTTCTTTTTCTAGCGATACGTTTGCTCGTTGTAGCTGCTAATTGCATATTTTCCGCTCTTAGAACTGGATACATATTTTCCCGCCTTTTTCTGGGTCTTTATTGTCCTGCATAAGTCCAAGACACTTAAGCTTTCACCCTTGGTATTGGTTGAATTTTCCTCTCCTTTTTGCCAGTTATGTGATACCTGCTCATGCCGGATTTATACTTGATTTTCCCGGACTTGCACCGGGTTCATGAATCATGATTTTCCCTTCCCGTACCCATATATTGTCATGGTGATCAGAAGAGTCGTTTAAGAGTCGTTGGTGAACTGCTCTTTTTCCAGTAGAAAATGTTATATTTCATGAAACAACGTTGTGTTTTGGTGACGAAAACTGCGTTTATTTCTCTGTACAGCTCGTCGCGGGGCCCGAAGGAAATCAGTTATATGACCACGTGACTCCAGCTCAGCAAAAGAACGCTGCCATTGTGAACAGTTTGTTTCAATTACACCAAGCCGTGATCAAGGTAACTGTTCATTGAGTCTCGCATTTGATTTCGCGTGAGAGATGAAGCTGCAGTAATTTAAAGCTGTACAACTTCGGACGACAGGGTAATTAAAGGAAAACTACTTTTTCTCTGGTCATCATTATGTATAATATAGTAGAATTACAACACTCTGTTTTCTCGATGTGTTTCTGCCTCCGTTGACTTCTGACTAATTTCAACATTTGTAGTTTAGCGTTTCACCGAGAACTTATTTGATGTTGTTATTAACGTAAACTGTCAAAAATGTCTTCACGGCTGACTAAAATCCTGTTCTTTGCACAATGCCTTCCATTTTATGTACTTTTGTACTTCTCAGATTGTGGATGGTCTGTGGTCTCAGTCCCCTGGTGTTGCTGTGGATGCAATATCTACCGGGTTACAGGTAAGATTTTGCTTGTAGTGAAACCAGTTTGCGTTTTTGAAGTGTCAATTCAACGACAGTCGTTTTACGTAGTGTCTTTGTTTTTTATATGAATTATATGATTTTCATATATTTGCAGTCATTTATTCATCTCTTCACGGGTTTATTTAGAACCAACCTAACGACCAGCAACCATTTGGCTAGTTAGCTTAGTTGGAAGAGCACTACACCAGTATCGCCGAGGTCATGGGTTCTAATCCCGTACAGGCGTGAATTTTTTCCAGGCCTTATTTTCACTACGGCTTAAGTAGTGGTCATTACTGCAAAGATCGCTTCCATATTCGTTTCTTTGTCCGCAGTTCACAAGTATGATTTTCATCTTCACAGTCATTTGTCTTTGTTTTGTTTGACAGTAAACCACTGTAAAATGTCTCGGCGTCTTTTCAATCAGTCAACGTCTAAATTTCTTTTTGCTTTTTTAGATTATATGATAATTTAATCTGATTATTCCACAGGTATTGCAGGGTACTAAGTTTTTGACCTGTAAATTTCCCCTTTGAGACAAATAACACAGCTTAGAGAGGCAGAACAAATTCGTTAGTTTGAAAATTTCTTGAAAACTAATTTTCTCAATCGATGTTAACACATTTCTTTGTTAGCTGTTGTTAAAATTCATTTATCTCGGTGATGATCATTTCCTCAATTCTCTTTACCCGCTTTTATGACATTGTTAGGAAATTGTAAGGAGAATTTTAGTACTAATCACTCCTGAATGCAAAAATTTTTCTTCTTCCATCTTAAACCGGCGCTAACTTTGCTAATGCAAACTGTATGCATTGGAAGTTTGCTGGTAATTGATATCTTCTTTTTCAACTCTAAAAATAGAAGTCGATTCTATCTCGTTAATTGGTTATCCGATATCTTTCATCCTTTCTTAAAAAGCCAGTTTATCGCCGGCCGCTTTGAAAAATTATATTATAGTTATAATCAAGCACTTTCGTGCATTTTTATTTTTATATCTTTGTGGTATCATATCTGATAATCTCTTGTCAAAATTCTTTTCTTTTTCTTTTTTACCACAGATCAATTAGTCTCGTAAATTTCCGATTATTTTATGACGACCGGAACTTTGATCAAACAAACATTTTATAATTGATCTTCTGCTGTAACTCAAATTTGATCTATTGGTTTCTTTGCCCATTGATGCTTTTTTGTTGTTTTTATATTCAATTCGGTAATAATTTTGCGGGGAAAATTGTCACGATATTTTGGTAAAACTCAAACCCAAGATTTTCTTCCGTGCTATTGGAAATAAAGTTCATAAAGATGACCTAGTCCACTGGACTGGGGCTTCCGTGTAAGAAAAAGGTTTTAAAAAGGCAAGAAATATGCGCAGCTGGCGTGGAATCGGAGTCCTTTAGTGAAAAAGAGTACAAATGTTGAATTATATTCGTGTTTTGAGTATTCTTTTTGAGTAGTTAACTTATTCGGTTTGATGCGGCAGAGGTTCCAAGTTTTTGTCGATCATCTTTTGAGACTTCAACCACCCACATTTTGGTTGCTTGGGATAGTTTTTTGTGTCTATATGCAATTTCGAGGTTTTTCCTGATATTGTGCCTTTCTTGTGCCTTAGAATAAATAATTCCTCCTATTTACATATAACCAGTGGGTATGAATTGACATGGATATCCGGATGACGCAAAAAAACAGACAACGAAGCCGATATACGGCCAAACAAACAAAAAATCAGAAAACTTACAGGAACTCTATGGTCACGAACGCGGTTATATGAAACAAAAGCGAGTTTTCGGTGACTTTTGAACTCGAGAGGGTCATATGTGACTTACGCACGCAGAATAAACATGTTTACTATGTCCTGCTGGGATGTGAGAAATTGCACTTATGAATGAAAAGTAAGGAGAGCTGCTGTCATTCCTAGATAGACTTTGACAGCATGGATCGCTGAAAGCGTCGAAAATTACATTATTTTCGAGTTTCGCAAATAAACAACTGAGGCAATGGACCCTTAACACTGAGAGAAGGATGCAAGCAATTATGAATGGACGAGAAAGTCTTTTAACGGATATTACCGTAAACAGACAGCTATATTTGCCACAAATTTTCTTCCTACGTAACCTTTTAAGCCGCCTTTTACAACTTCACCTGTTCTTCTACGAGGCTACAAGCAAAACTTCTTTTTGTTCTATAGCGTAAAACGAGTGGTACTGCGATAGTGTGTGATGTTCTTGACGCCGTTTTTAACGGATAATTACCACCTCATTTTGTTATTCACCCTAGTTAATTTATTTATAAAAAGAAACCTTCTCTATAGTACGTTTTACTGTTATTGTAATTTTTGTTTTCTGCTCGATATCGTTGCTTAAGATGTTGGCTGTTGTCAAAAACTCGGTTAATAAGACTCCACCGTTCAGGTTGAGTTTTTTTCGTATGTGGCTTCAAACAATTACAAGTTTCCAGAAAATTTCTCCTAATTGATTGTATTTGTTATTCTTCATACTATCCCGCACATTGATTTGTCAAGATTTAAGGGAGAAATGATATTTTGAGATTGAGGTATTTCCTAAACAGTTGTTCTCCCAGGAAACCGTCCGCCATACGCAAGAATGCATGGGTTGTGAATTGGGCATGCGCATATGCGCATATTTTTTCGAAGTCGGAACAATTTTTGATAGAGACCACAATAAAACGATAGAGTTGGCCTGTTTCTTCGACACTAATTATTCTAATCCCAATTGAGATTTTTTTCGCCTAATGTTTATTTTTCTCTAGCTTCCAAAAATCTTGCGTGTTTGACATTCTGACTTTTACTGACTCGATTTTCTTATAATCGTGCAAGAAAGCTTTATTGTGAATTTTTGCATATGTGTTGAGCTCGCAAGGCGAGTCGTATTTTCGCGTACATAGTGAAAGCACTTTTGTGTGGCGAACAAAAGTCGATTTCCAAACTTGTCATTTGGTGCGAGGCTGTGAGCAAATCGTAAACATTACCTATTGTGTCTGATTCTCAGCTGTGCATATGTACTCCGGCAGTTTTGTTCATCTGTGGAGGACAAATTAAGATGAAATGCGCTTTCTAATTGAATTGCTCGCGGATGTTGCAAATGACATTTCGTATGTTGTGTTTTTTTCGGAAGTGACAAATATTAAATGCTCACGAGAAGATTGAGTGGTCGCGCTTCCGCTGAAATTATCCTACTCAAACTACTCGGTATTATTTTAATGCATCCGATTTTATATTCCCACCACAAAATGCTCACAACTGAAAATATTCTAGACCCAAAGTTTAGTTTAAAATGGATAAGGAGAGGGAAATTTTCAAGGCATTTCTTGTAAATATGCGTAGGTTTTCGTTTGATTTTGTTGTACCCGTGCTCGCACACACGCGAAAGATTACAACGCGTGCGATAGTTGTATCAATGAAGTGTTAAATCATTTTTTTTGCTAGAAAATAGCCCTTTAATCGAGATATATTGGGGCATGAAGTTTTTTTAGGTTTCTTTGTTCGCGCTGAAATAGCGAGGGCCGTTTTTTTGACGCAGATACGTAATACTTACGTTTTTTTCGAATAGAAATTATATGAGTGATACGGCAGATTTTCGAATCTCCATCATGGGCCATTCGCATTCAGATTTTTACGTTTATCGTCAACAATATGGTGGTAAATAACCATTAGATGTTGAGGAACAGTATAAACTTTATAAAACAACCATTTTTGTTTTCGTTTCCAAACTTTGTAGTCTAGAAATTTTTCCTGGTACAAGAGAGGAAAGTTTGCTTATTCGAACATGTTCGATCAATTATTTTTAACTTCAGCACCATCTAGTCTCCGTTAATTGCTCCTAGCTTAGGCGTTGAAAAGGAATGAAAAGATTTAACTTTTTGTTGCTCCTTTGATCGTTGAATAAATCCCCTTTCTTTTCATTTGACTTTTGGTTTAAATAATTTCTGATCTTAATTTCTGAATTTTATCTTGATTTTAATTTGCGTCGGGCAACAACACTCATTGAGCTACACTTCTCAGAAGCGTAGTACATCATATTTTTTGCTGTTCTCTCCGGCGCCCGGTCTCAGAGTTATGACTTTTTGATCATATATTTATTTGGGTACTAACCTTTTTTTCCGTGGCTGCGTTGCGTGTGATGTCAAGATGACTTCAAAGTAATACTAGTGAAGCCACAGAACCCATCAAGTCTTTTTAAAACTCATATCTCATCCAACACGAGGTATTATTTTATTCCATCGCCTTTTGTCCAATGGTATAAATTTTCTCTTGTATCCTGTAGTTAACGATAAAAAAACAGAAAGTTACGCACGAACTTCAATCTACTACGGGTTTTCTTCGTCGTTGCAAAGCGATTTTGTAGATTAATAAACTTGCATAGACAAGTTGTTCCTCCAGGCAGTTTTCGATGTTATGATTTTCGGTTTTGTTTACTGGCCTGTTGTCTCGTTTAAATAATTCTTCTCTCTTTCTTGGCTTTCCTAATGTTATCTTCTTCTACGGTAATTCATGTCATGAAAATTCCGTGTACTTTGAATTGCAAATGAACTGTCTTCGTCAAACAATTAATCTCAATTCAACTGGTTTGTTTTCAGGGGAATACCATTTTGTTGATGAAGCGACTCTTGCTCTGCGATTCAATCATTGGCTTACACAAAACACATTTCTAATTAAAATTTGGAATTTACTACTCACACGAAAGCGCGGACAAACAGGCCTCTATTTTCATTTGTCAAGGAAAGAAAAGGTTCTTATCAGTACACAGGAGACACGAGAATGTTTAAATGATTCCAAATGTCTCTTTTCAAAGTAAAGGCGATTCGATAGATTAATGGTCCATTTCTTGCTGGACAGAGTGTCAGTGCAAGTTTAATTTAGTTAGAATGTTCAATTCATCGCGTTCTCTGACCTCAATTGGTTTTTATCACTTCCACGCGAGTAAATTAAAAATTTCTCGTCAATTTTTCTTAAATTACGATTTAATTTGTGGTAATTCAACCAGGCGAACTCTTGGATTTCAGTGAATGCGATTTGCATGTTTCTACGCCAATTTGAGCCTTTTTTACGCTTTTTAAAGCTGTCTTGGCCATACGACAAGAATTGAACTTGGCCGATGGTTTTGGAAACGCATTCAAATTGTTTACAACCTTTTTACGTCTTATGTTATCAATGACTTCTTAATTTCTCCGAGATTCCCCTGGTGAAAGCTAATCAATTGCAAATCTTACGGACAGAGATTCTGTCGTAACGTGAACTAATTTTCCATAAAATTGTAATCGATCAGCGAAATTGACCACCTATTTGATCATTTGACGTCTAGATCCGCATCAATACCAGCTGTTTGAACGCAAAATGGCGGTTAATTAACTTCAATTTGATACTAAACCAAGCGGTTTTACATGCCCCCGACTCGATGAAAACAATGTCTTAAGACGCAAATTACCTTGGCCTGTGTGATGTTCAGTTTTGCGGAAAGGCACACATCGTGAGCGAGCGCTTTTCGTGCTGAGTTGCCAACGTTAATTTACTAATTATAAATGCCCCCCCCTCCCCCCCTTATACATTGATAAAGATCGCTTACTCTATCTCAATACACAATGTTAATGAGCTGAAATCTATCCTTATTTACAGATACCTGGGCGGAATACTCAATTTCCATACGTAGTTCGTGTGCGTTCGCGAACGTGATTTTTTTGCTTGAGTTGAAAATGAAGAAAAAAGCTTGTTATGCTTTATTGTATGCTAAACCTTACAAACATGTAATGCTAACATACTAATGACATCATGAATTTACAGACTTATCCGACTATGTTCCGAAAATTAGCCGAGGGTCGACTGAATGTTTCACGACACTTCATATTCTCGACTAAGATTAAATTGGAGAAAGATGTTTTTTCGTCTTGTCACGAGCGTGGGACAAAGAAAAATTCTGAGTCCCCATGAGGAATCGAGCCTCAGACCTTCGGATTCCGCGCTCCGAAGGTCTGGGTTCGACTCCTCATGGGGACTCAGAATTTTTTCTTTGTCCCACGCTCGTGATAAAACGTAAAAACCTCTTTCCTTATTTCTTTACCGAGCTCAAAACTTACCATCTCTCTTATTTCTATCTACAAAGATTAAATTACGTTCGACACCATAGTGTATTGGGACAGCGGTTTCATATTCACCATGGGAACGGGAATTAGGTGTTGTGGGAATAAAGCTTTTTCGATGTGACGTGATGTGCTGTGGTTGCTTTTAGACACCACAATACCTAACAAACCCAAGTTTTGTCTTACGAAGGTGTTTTTTTTTTTTTTACTCTTCCGTTAGACAAACAAAGAAACAAAGAAACAGACTAACCAACAACAGACACGCCATCAGCTGATATACATGTTTTAGAGCAATGTCAGTATCTAAGCAACTGCGCACCTACCCCTCCTTTAACCTAACAGCAGTCAACTGATAATAAGTGAGATTTTATGTTTGGCAAGGGGAGGGGTAGGTATGCAGTTGCTCAGATACTGACATTGAACCCGTATTTCCCTGTTCTTCCGTTCTGGATGTCGTATCTTTGTCAGTGATGAGATTTGTTTTGAATTTATGAGAGCTGATAGGCTGTTTTTCTCCAGTAATATTGGCCTTAAAGTTGATTATTTTTGCCTCAGGGAATTCTAGCGCTGATTAATTCGGCTTTGGATCCACTGCTTGATGCGATCAGCCGTGATTTGGAAAACCATATATTCAAGATGCATTCCGAAGATTTCACAAGGTGAGTCCATGCACTTCCTAGAAGCTTGGAAGTTTACGACGTTCAAACTTCATCGTTTCTCGCACTTAGGAAGACAACATGCTGCGATTATAGTCATTAAAAATTAGTCTAGTAAGAATTGCGACTTTCGTAGAAATTTTAATTTTAAGTGCACAAGGAAAACATTTTATATTTTCCAACTATTGTGATATATTTAAGGTTTTGCGTCGACTGAGAGAAATTGGTCTTTTTTTTAAAACAAATAACTGCTATTATATTTTTGATTGAAGTTCCACCTTGTCGCGTGACATTGCTGATAACCCGGATGCGCCATGTTCTGGTTACATTCAAGACTTGCAGGTATGGGCTGAGGATTACCTTTGTTAACTTTGTTGACCTTCTTTGAACCTTTTATCTTCTTACTTAGAGGAGGGGATCCTACGTGTTATGTCTTTCAGGATTTTATTATACACGTTCAAAAGAACTACATTGCACTTTATGAGTGCAGAGAAATTCTCTCGCAAAGGTAAGCAACACGCAACCCTTTTTTGATTCAATTATGTGCACCAAAATTTGTCAACTGAGTCGAATCTGTGATCATCTTAGCCGAAAGGAGAATAAAAAGGAGGTGTGGGAATTCAGAGATTGTGCCATTCGTCACGGCTGCGTCGCTATAACCACTTGACATCCAGAAATGATCTTCTCCTTAAAGTATTAGTACGCTTTGCAATAAGCAAATGATGAGGGTAGTGATACGTATTAGCCAGAAGGAGGCGGCTTGATATGGCATCAAATTCTCTTCGTTAATATATAAAGAAATATCTCGTAGTCAGAGGAGAGAATTACAATGCCCATCGTTGGATTAAATACAACGCTACGCAGGCTGCTTGAGTTCATAAGCTCTCAACAACACTGTTTCCATGGTAACCGCACATCTAGTTTTACAGTTCAACATGCTTCTTGCTTTTATTTGTTGAATCCTTCCGCTTTTTAGGTTGGAAGAGATCGTGTGTCGAACTATTGAGCTGTTTGTTCGTCACGCCAGTCTACTTAGAGCCATTGGCGAGGGAGGAAAACTGAAGCTTGCTGCTGACATGGCTCAGGTATGCTGTTTTCACATTTTCATTACTTAACTAAGGATTCAGAATGGGATTTTTGTTTAGTCTTGCTGTTGTTGAGGTGAATAACTGCCCTTGTTGACCCAGGTTTCCGTAGTAACTTTCCCCATTGACACACCTGCATTCCCAACCACATTTACTAGGTAACTTACTATATTTGTTGTTGTTTTTGTTTTTGTCTAGATTGAGTTTGCTGTTGGTCCATTATGCCACAAAGTGTCAGATTTAGGAAAGTCCTACAAACTTTTGAGATCTTTTAGGTGAGATGCGCGTAATTGTACGTTCTCCATCACCCGTGTTTGCTAGACGGAAGGATATAACAGTGCACTGACAGGTAGACAGACGGACGGACCAACGTACATGGACAGACGGACCAAAGAACATGTAGTAAGACCTTCAGACGGACGGACAACTAGACAGACAGGCACGCGGCCAGGCGGAAGGATAGAGATTCACGGACGAAATTGACAAAGAGACAGATAGATTATTCAGCAGTGAGACGAAAAAGGCGGACTAACAAAGAGAAAAACACAGACAGGAAGACTAAAAGACGGTCAGACAAACTGATGCACAGTTCTACGAACGGACGTTCGTGCGGACAGACGGACGGATAGACAGACCGACGGACAGAAGCACGGACATACGAACGGACAGACGGACGGTCAGATAGATAAAGAAACATTTATTCGATGGATGCTGTCAAGTACACAGCTGCATCTTCCAAAAGTGTTAAAATCATTTCTTTTTTCCAGACCTCTATTATTTCAAACCTCTGAAGATATTGTAAATAATCCGGCCCTTGGAGAAAGTCTTCCTCACAGTGTGGTATTGCATCATTTGTTTTCACGCGCTCCAAACGAACTTAAATCTCCTCACGAGGTACGTACCTTCATTTTCCAGCCCTACGGGCTTTCTTTTACACAGACATCCTTTGAAGTTTCTTCTTTATTAAGGTTTATCTCTAAGGGTGCGAAATTGATATCAGAGGGAACGAACTAAATATAAATATAGATCATTTTGAATTAAGAAACGACCGTTTTATTGTTACGGTTAGAAATTATCAGCCTTAAGACCCTAGTACTTCTGGAGGTGACTGACATGTAACTTCTCCTTATAATAACCATACACTGTCCAGCAAATAGGTATTGAGATTACTCCAACCTCTCAGGTAGAAGTGATCTTGAACTAGCAACAAATTCTCGTAACCAACTTACAAGGAAATGTGTAACAGCTACAGGGGAGAATTAACATTAAGATCTTAGGGTTTAATGGGGTTAATAGTAAAAGACTGCCACTAAAAAAATATGGTTTAGCCCTGTTATCCACTTGTGCGCAATCAAGCCCTCCATCAACTTAACTCAAGATTCTTTAAAAATTGTTGGGCCCACGGTTTAAATCATCATGTAAATCGACTTCAGTGTTGCTGATACAGAAATTTTGAATCCAGTTTTGAAAGAGATCCTGGAAACTCGCGCCCCCTTGAAAGAATTCTTAAACTTATTGTGACTCGCGCGTTCTCTCGCGCGTCGAGCGGTTTGCGTGTCTCTACATAGAATTCCTATGAACTTTCCGTGAAATTACCTTTGTTCTGACAAGCTGTTGTGACTGCTTTGGCTCAGGTTTTACTAAACTCAATCGAAAAGCCGTCCTTACGCTGCATGTAGTAGTAAGTCAGCTAAAATTAATTTTGATTTGTCTGAAGGTGGCAGGATGGTCATTGGGTTTCTACTCTCAATGGTTGGATGAGCACACATCAGAGGAAGAGAAACTTGCACTTATTAAGTAAGGGTGTCATTCTGACCAATGAGAAGTTGGTTTATCCATGGGGTAAAATGTTCGTCATAATAATAACTATCGATCAGTCAATAATTTGGTCGGCCTGTCTGGCCGGCCGTTTGGGCGTCTAAGGTTACCCCGTAGTACTTACGGCCCACCCAACTGAATGTCCACTTGCTCGTTCGTCTAACTGACCATTCGTCCGTTTATCCAATCCCCTCCCCTCTCCCCCAAACCCGCTTTTGTCTATCTGTCCATCCATCACTAACTCCTTCTTTCAGTCTGCCTTTTGGTCAGTTAGAATGTGGGACAGCCAGTTAACTCAGACAAGGTGCCAATGTTATTTCAAGCAGTCGGTTGATTACAGGCGTTAATAAGTGTCTTTACCATATTTGACTGTTTATTTGTGATTTGCAGAGGCACACTGGAGGCATACGTTCAGTCGGTCAGATCACGTGGAGAAAAAGAATTTGCACCAGTGTATCCCATCATGCTGAGGATTCTTCAAGCTGTGAGAGCTACACAGGGCTCCTAATATTTTGCTGACTGGAAGAAAAACAAACAAACAGACAGACACGAAAACAACAACAACAACAACATGGGAGCCAAAAAATTACGTAGCATATTCCTGGAGTATATTTCCTTACAACAAGTCTGTGATAGAAGATAGAATTAAGTTATTTTTTATTGTTGGTCGACAGAAAGCAGGGATATGATACTGAGTCCATTGTGTATATAACGCCTTATGTAGAAGGCACCGAACATCGAACACTTACTCCTTACATTCTTAACCCTTTACACCCTAACATCAGTATGCATATTCTCCATACTGTTCTCTGTACATTTACTAAGGTACTGACAAGGAGAATTTGCCCAACAATCAAGAGTTCCTTTAGTTGGTGATCATTTCCTTCATTCTCATGATATTAATGTATGATTCAGAGGAGATATTGTAAGGAGAAATTAGATGCCAATCACTCTTGAGGGTTAAAGGGTTTATTAGTTGATACTGTACTTTAATTGGAACACATTTCCTAAATGTTCGTAAGTTCTGTGTAACGCCACCGAATCAATAAAAGGGAAATGGAAAAGGGTTTGGTGGAGAAACGAAGGGTGGTACTCATTTAAGATAGTATGTAAAAAATGAACAGCTATTGTAAGCTACACACTGCTACTTCATGTTTAATTTATTGAGAACATAATATTTAAAAATTATATAGTCGTAATGTACCGGGAAGAAGCGATTACGTCAAGAATAGCCTTTCCGCGAAGTAAGTGCCGTACCAAAGGGGACTTGGAAAGTATGGCGCTGGAAGGGACTTCTGGAAGGGGACTTGGGAATAAAAGGACCTTGGAAAAGAGGGACCTAATAGATACATGGAAAATGGAGACTCAATTGGGGCTTTTAAAATATATAAGTAAAAAGAACTTAGAATGAAGGGCCAATTAGGAGCATAGACAATAGGGACTTGGATGGGGCTTAGAAATCATAGGAACTCAAGAGGGGCTTGAATAAATGGGACCAGTAAGGACCGAACAACAAGGGACTTAACCTGGGCTTGGGAATTAAGAGGAACTGGGAATTAACGTGGATTGTTGAAAAGAGGATTTGGAAAAGCACCGCTAAAAGTGAAGACGTAGCTTGGAGTCTTGGAAATTTCTGTGAAGATTGAATAAGATTTGACTAAAACCAGATTGTAGTTCTTGGACTTAAAAGCCAATAGAATAAAGGTATTTGATAGAACTCAACTTTAAACCGTCTTTGCACGCGTGGAGAGTTAACAGTTAATGAAATGTTACACAAAACTAACGGCATGCGAAAAAGGAATATTCCGACGGGTTTGCTTGCCCCCCTGGTGCTGGTTCTGCTGAGTACATATTTAACTGAAAAGGAATGTTTGGATCTTGGAGTGTGACCTTGGTGTTTTAATTCTGAGGTTAGGATGCAAGCTGAGCCGTATGTGAGAGTTTACCCCCTTATTGATACCCTCCTACATTGTAGACGGCAGATCAGATCTTAAGAATTATTTTGCTAAAATAGCACATTCACCCATATTCGTGAGTTTCCTCGTCTAGTATATTCACTATTATACACCACTGTACAAACAACGGTGAAGAGGACTTCCTTCCATGATAAAATCTTAAATGTTTGTCTGTTTTATCCGGTAATTAACGTAGTTATCAACCAGGGGGTCTTGTGAGGCATATGAAGATATATACTCACGGCTGAGAGATAAGTCGAAGATAAATGCCGTGAACTCTAAACAAAGAGAAAAAGGAATTTTGACGTAAATGTGCAAAACAATTTCCTCTTGAAAGAAAGTGGGCAAAGTTGATTTCTTTAGCGGTTTTGTGGTTACACCCCCCTAATGGGCACACCCGTTAGGTACGGCGTCCTGTTGTCTGGGACGCCTCTTAAACTTGATTCCTAAATGTTTATTTGGCCGGATATGTATATTAGATATTTACGAAGGTAGAAATTCATCGACAGCGCAGTTCTGCAAGTATTTTCTCCTTCAAAGAGTTAGATTTTAGTTGCTAGAGTTTTCAGCTGCAGTGAATATTACTTTACTTTATCTTCACAAAAGATTGCCGAACACCTGAGAGATCTGTATTGTTTGAAATTGTGGTTTTCTCATTTCCGCCTCTATAGATAGAGAATCCTTTGTACAAGATGGTTTGACGCATTGAAGCTACGTGCTCAATGATGAATGGTTTGTCATGTTCACAATTATACAAGGAACATGGTTTCATTGTTTGATTTTATTGCTTCTTTAAGGGAAGAATTTGAATCGGGTGAATCAAGGTCAAACATAATAATGCCTTTGATTGAAACTTCAAGTATGAATAGGGAGAAGAGGGTTTTTTAATCCTTGTTAGTTTATCTGATGGGTTCTCGAGTCACGAACAACTACATTCACTTGTCGCAACTCTTTTATTAGCCTTTGACAGGTTTCTGGTTTGTTTACTCGATTGGCTTATGGATGTGTAAAAAGTCACGAATTACGTATATATCTAAAGATCTAAAACTTTGTGGTTCTGTGTATCAGCTTTTTAATTATCTTCTAAGCAATTATTTAGTTGTAACGGAAACATCATTCATGTTTCACCTCGAAATCTATTTATGTGCTGATAACGAAGTTCCTCTCATCGTTAATACTTCGCTAAAACATAAATTGGTTTTCTCTCTCAATTGTTTGACAGTTGAAGAGCGTTTGTAGAGAAAATTTCATCAATGTACTAAATATAATCACATACTGGAAAGTATGATCTTTGTGGGAGACATTTGAAATCAAGGCCGGTTTTCCCGATTAAATCGCTTCACAAAGGCTCCTTAAAGGATATTACAGATTACTTTTACAGAAAGGAAGCGATTTGAACAAACCTTAATCGTACATATTCCTGCTTATAATTCATAGAATAATAAACATGCTTGTGACGCTTTGCGTAATGATTAATCTTTTTGACGCGTTATGTTTGCTGAAGCAGATGTTTTTCCGGAGCGTTGAGGAAGTCACGTCCAAACTTTAAACACAGTACATTGATGTAGTTGGGCCAACTTTGCGGTTTTGTCGTTTAGGGTGTTTTAGAGCGGGGAGCATGCAAGCCTAAATTGTTAGAAAGCATACGCCTTCCGTTAGTTGATATGTAAGAGATGATAAACAACCCAGGTGGTAGCTTTCAAGCGGTACTCAGAATTTTTTTCGTTAGGCTAGGAGAGAATCATGATAAGCGCCTAAGTGAATTTACTCTGACTTTATCTATGGCTTCTAAATCCACGATTATACCGCTTCTCATTTCGAGCTCCTTGCTCGCTCAGCTCGATTCTTATGCCTACATTCACTGTATTCTGTTCGTACATAGACAGGATTGGCATGAATTAAAGTTTTGGCACCTTCTGGACCACCTCTGGCTCAGTTGGCTCCAACGCAACATTTTTCTAACTTGGTCGGAACAAGGTTTCAAAGGGCCGCTCTAAACGAGCCAAACTTGTTGTGTGTGGCCCAGTAGGATGGTTAGAAATTTTCTACACAGCACATTGATGAAGCTGTGCCAACTTTGTGGCATTGTCCGATATTGTGTTGTAGAGAAGTAAGCTTACAAGGTCGTCTTGAGAGAATACACATATGCCTTCTGTTAATTAATACGAAAGAGTCGATACACGACTTAGGTGGGCTAATTTCAGTTTTAGCGGTTCTCAGAAAGTTTTCCTCCAAGTTACGAGACGATCATGAAATGCGCTTACTTACGCTTAAGTGAATTTACTCTGTCATTACTTCTGATTCAAGAATCCGAGTTAATGCCTCATCGAGCTTTTTGTTTTTTCAGCGCTATTCTTTCTCTTGGATTCACATTATTCTGTGGTTCTTACCCAGGATTGTTATGAATCAAAGTTTTTTTCAATTACCGGACCACCCGCTCTGGCACAATTGACACCCACGCAACATTTTTCCTCAAGGGCTGCTCTGAACGAGCTAAACTTGTTATTTGTGATTCAGTTGGATGGAAAGAAATTTTCTGCTTCTGTAAATGCGCCAATTGTTCCTTGAAAACATTTCTGTCATGTTTTCTCATAAGGATCAAAGTTGAAATAACTGCATCATTGTTTCGCAGTAAGATTTTCGTTAATTTCAGCGAAAGTGAATGTTCCTTAAAGTTAATCATAACCAAAAGCGAGACTGAGTACCACATACGAAAAAATCCCGTTGAATCTTCTCATTCTTGAAGTTTTGTATCTTGACAGTGTCCCCCACCCCCTCCCCCCACAATTTTCCACAGCAACTGAGAGACAAGGAGCTGTGAGGTTCACATACTGTGCTTACCAGTGGGTTTCAAAGGGGTTAACCGTTAGCCTTAAAACGGCCGACAAATTTATCTGTTAGGCGTAAAAATTGACAAATTTTTTCCATTGGTCGTTAAAAAAGTTAATCGTAAAATAATTTCTGGTAACAACGATGGAAAGATGTTAACTGTTGGCCGTAATTGGTCTAAATTTTAATTGTAAACGTCAACCGTAATAGCCATTGAAACTCTCTTACCGCGTAAGCAGCTGGTTGAAGAAAAAACTCGTTTATCTTTGTAAGGTACCACTTATTCCTATCGATCTTTTTCTCTTTTATTCCCATAAATAAAAATAATTTTCAACACATAAAAGATGTCAAGAACATAACTGACGAAGGGACCAAATAACGACTTGACAAATTGACTCCGATTTCTGCCATTGATGCCAAAGACTTTGCGTCCCACTGGTTAGTCCTAGAATGACTGACTGCATATTACATTATCACCGTACAGTAACCTTTAAGCCTATGTTCAAATGAGTATCACTCGAATGAATTTTCAGGAGAAATAAACCAGGTATCTATTGTAGAAAAAGGTTTTTTTTTTCATGTTCGTCCTTCTTTTCACAGACTGCAAAATATTACTTTTAAAAGTTCTTCACGCTTGTACGAGTTTCACTAAGCCCCGCTGAATTGTGAAGCAAAATTGCGGAACTCTAATATCCTGGATAATAATTCCGTTTCTAATCATCAATGATAGTTGACGTCAATTAACAACGTCACAGATTCTCATAGCACGTGGATCTTTTGGAAGTGAGCCCTTTAATGTTCATTTCATGACTTTAAGTACGCGGTTTGCCACTAAACGAAAATTTCCCCAAGCAGCCGCGCTGTTTGCCCGCGTAGGCGACGTTTTAGTGTGCTCGGGAAAGAATTTGAGCGTCAAAAAAGTCGTGAAGGACGCGAGCCACTGCGAAAGTCGTGAAGGTTATAAAGAAAGAGCATTCCTATGTGTGTCTGATGGGACTAACATGAGCTTTTAATACCGCTTTGGGCAAAGTCGACTTCACCTAATTGCCATTTGTATTGTACCCTGTAAACGCACTGTTCAACTGTAGAAGATTGACGCACAACTATGTGCCTCATTTACTTTGCAGTAACTCAAACAGAGCAATTAAACCGTCCTATCTTTGTTTGACGGTTATTGGTGCTTCAATTTTCCAAGCAGGTGCAAACTCACAACGTTGCTATGCGAAAGTTGACGAAGTGGTGAAAAGCATTGTTCACCTTGTTCACCTTGTTGACCGTATAATCGTGCGATGGGCAATGTGGGTTTTATTTGCTGGAAACTTGAGTTTCTTTTGACGTAGAAAAATATTACCTTTGGACTACTCTCGTGGAAGCATTTTCGAAGAGGGTTTCCCTTTTACTTATAAAAAAACATACGTTCCAGTTTTGAACTGGAAATTACTGGCATGTAATTCAGCAGTGGCCATGCGTTCTTTGTATGTAAGCTTCTCATAATTCGCCTTTTGTCCAATCAAACTTTAACTAGTTAACACATGTAAGTATTTCAAACAGCAGTGAGGAGTTCGAAGGTAGTCGGATAGAGTTCCACCAAACCCATTCCTTCCAAATTGTATAAAGTCTTAAGATAGAATTCGTTACTTTAGCGTACTTAACAGAAGTTAGACCTTCTGTTGTTTGACATCTTCTTTGTTCTTGAATATAAAATAAGCGTCGCTTTTTGTTGTAACATCTAAGGATTCATAAACAAAGAAAGTCTTTAAACCGATGACCTTTTGACGGCTCTTTCGAATACTGGTGATCATCATTAAGTCCTTTTTAAAAAAAGAAGTTGTCACTAAAATTGCGTCCAATATAATTTCTTTTTTTCACTAAGCTTTCGGGGGATTAAACGCAAACCAATCAGGAAGAAATAATTCCTCGTATTTCATGCTTTGGCATGCAATAC